TACCGGCATTTTTCTCCCAGTATCTTCCATCAATCCTTAAGGAGCCTGATGGCTCGTTCAATATGGGAACGAGCTGCGCATATCGCGCGAATGTACCAATTTTCTGGCGAGAAAGTTTTATTACATGGCTTTTAATGAGAGTAAGTTTTACCTGCTTGAGTAGGAGGGTTTTCGACGACTTTTATCAGAAACGACTCAGCGGCATAAGCTGAATCGCCTATTAAGCGGCCAGCATTCTGACCATCTTTTATAGCCTAATAGAATCGAAATTCCCGAAGCACCCGACTATCATGTGCCGATCCAGGGAGTGACGCATTTCACATATAAGGCCGACGTTCATCGATGGTATTGTTTCCAATTGATGTGATCGGCTCGTTTTCATAAGGTGCAATTATTCGCACTTGCGTCCCATCGATAAAACCTACAGTGTTTGGTAGATTGTGGGACCTGAACACGTCCCCATTTATGCGTCTTCACTCCTCTGTTCCTAGCCAGTACACATATTTAGCAGCATTCAAACAAATTTTCTTAACGAACTTTGTGAGATTCGGCTGACATCGATTGATCGCGACCGACCATACGCACCTAGTCTCTTTGTTTATTGTTTCTCCCCAGAAGTTCAGACATATCGCAACTTGCTGGAGGATGGATAGGGGTTGCGATCGATATCTTGATAGGTCAAGATTGTTCTTGGCCACATCACAAATTTATAGGAAACTCGTTTGCTAAAACGGAAATCCCTTTCAAAAGCGATTTCATTAAACTTTAAAAAGACATCGCCCTTTCCGGGCGAATTAGAGTAATCTTGCTCGCGCTGTCTGCATATATCAGTTATCGAAAAGCGATTTTGGAATGGGGAGTAATGCGCGTGTGGAAGGCCGAAATACAGTTAGAAAACATAACAAAACTCAGCCTAAGATTCTATGTTTTGCCATTCATTCAAGGTTCTTCCACATAAACGAAAAAAAATGCGGAAACTATCGGAGAATTTTTGGGAAAAAACGAAGAAGTTGTAAAAGAGTTTCTAATATCCTATTTAATGTAACTTTCTAAATGTTGTAGTCGCATAGTTAAAGGAGCTGCAATTTTTCAATAGAAATTCCTTCGCGATGATAAATTGGAGGCTGGTATGGTAGTCTTTCGGAAGATGTAAAACTAACAAATAAAATCTTTAAACTCCAAAACCTCAAATGACTGTCAAGTTGACCTACACCTCGTCTTTCTTGCTTTTATAGCTTAGCAATGACCTTATCTTAGATGTGTTATCCAGTATCTACATTTTTGTGTTGTTCTCCTTTTAGACTGGGCGGAGGTACCTAATCTTATGTATTTGAGAAAGTTTAGCCAGAGTGTAGTTAATAGGCAGGGTGTCCCAAAAAATGTCCTCACTGTTTGATTGTAAATAACTCTCTTGTAATGAAGTGTTTTGAAAAGCTTTAGCAAATTGTAGAGAAAGGTTCAACTGAGATTTACTGTATAGAGCGAATCACCGATTGCTCTTCATTACTATAGGATTACGGTAGGAACTTTGAAGATGGTTTTGAGCCATGAAAGGCCATATCTTGCCTCAGAAAGCAAACAAAACAACCTGAAAAGTTTCACACTGGGCTAATTAGAATTGCTGATTCTAAATGTGAAGTTCGCAACCTTATCATAGTGCTTCAATAAAAAGTTATGCGAGGTAAGCAGTACCGGCCATTTTTCCAATGCTTCCGAAAATTGCAATTATACCGTTTAGAAAGCTTCGCAACCTTATACATATTTGAGTGTTGAACTCAGCGTCCATGGAAAACCAATTACATAATTTTTCACATTTATTTGAAAATTTTTGAAACCGCAGCTTTTCTCACAGTGACACCATATGCTCGAAGTTTCTACCGTAATCCTACAGTAATGAAGAGCGGTCGGTGATTCGCTCCCTACTGTGAATTTAAGTGGAAGCCAGCTCTACAAAATGGTACCTAAAGCTTCGCGAAACACTTCATTACAAGTTATTTACAATCAAACAGTGAGTACATTTTTTGACACCCTGTATATTTTTCCTCTAACCTTTAGCCAAAAACATAACAAAATTGTTACGCAACTGTTGGCCTAGGTTAGGCGCTATTGCGGGGGCTCGACGTGGTACCCAGGGGTAAGTTGAAATCGTTTATTGAAGTCGCGTCCTCCAGGCGATCAGCGTCTGCGTCCTCCTCGGCTACTCCTCGATTGATCAACCTCACTCCAAGTGACACTAAGACAAAAAGAATTTGAGCCAAGCGGAGCCGCCTTATAAGCGGCTCGAGAAGATGTGCAGGCGCCCGATCGCGTGGTCCCACAAATCAACCAAAACGTAACAAAAGCATTGAAACACCAACTATAGGCATACTAATCGACAAAAGGACCAGATAAACACAACATATGACAACAGAAGGATCACAGAAGCCCTGCAACTTCACAAAATAAGTAAACAACGTCGCCTTCTTCAGTATGAAAGTTTACAGCAGGTGCTCAGTTGATGCCGATTCCCAAACTTACTCCCCACAAAAAAGAAGGCACATCAACACTGTAGGCGATTTATTGCACGTCGTTGGGCCCGACTAGGGTAATTTGTGCATGAGGCAGGCGGCAGGAGAGATGGAAGAGCCCTCAATAAGCGAGCCGCCGACCGCGTCCGTAACGACGCCTTGTCTTTGCGTGCACTGAATCGCCTATGCATGCTATGACACAAGAGTTGCTAACCGTAATATTTTCGCGTAGTAATAATAAATCTATCAATAATCTACCTAATCATAATATCTTAATGCACACAATTTGTATCTTTCCTTGTTACAACTGAAAGAACTGGATTCAGTGTAAACTCGGTTTTGATCAAGCTCAGCCACTCCTAGATTTCATTGAGTGCGTAACGGGGAGGGATCTTGAAAACAACTGCGCAAACTCTTGCAAGCAATCTTGATTAGCACTGACAATTTTGAACATACACAGCTACAAACCCAATGGAAGGCAACAGTGTCCTGCTAGATAATAGCTTAAGACAGAAGTGATCATAAAACTAGAAAGGGTGCGTACACGATGGTGTTGAATGAAAACATATAGAAGCGCGTTCTTCGTTTCGTTCCTTGTTTTAGACGGAGTGGAAAAAGCAAGTGAGCCCTCCGCGGAACTCAGTAAGCTGTAGGGGAGAGGAAAAAAACAAAAGTAAAACTCACCATTTCTTCAAAATTGTGCTTGGATATCGTGTAGCGCTGTGGTATTCCAGTAAGCGTAAAATATCAAAGAAATGCACTGCATAAAGAGATTAAGGCGCGTCCGTTGACGAAGGGCAAGCAGAACCCGATCTTGCGAGGTGGGTGCTGCTGCCCGTCCGGATTGGGCGCCTGCGAGTTTCATACTTCACGGGTCGGGCGTCCCTTCCCGGTCGGGTGATAGAAAATGACAACCCGGTCTCAAAACTGAGATTTATACATATCATTCATTCGCTAAGAGATGCGAGCACGCTTTTGCACGTCTGATTAACACGTTTCTGAGTGCCTTTTAACGCGTTCTGGTGATTTACTATTAGGAATTCGTGCAACAAGAAGTTCGAACTCGCGCTGTTCAACATGCTCGAACATGTTCTTGACGAATTCTGAAACTAATCATCCGAAACGCGTCATAACGCACTGATCATGTTAATCAGACTACCCAAAGCGTGCTCGCGGGGGCTAAAATCCCCCATTTTGTGCATATCAGAAACGCTCCGGTGTCAAAGTGACACGGCGGGGGACTACGGGGGTGGGGGCAGATACATTACTCGATGCCACAAGTAGTAATCCATGAAAGTCATTGAGACGGATGATACACTGTAGCCTCATTGTGTGTTGCCAGAGGGGTGTAGGCCCTTCTGAACCTGCCCTAATCGCGACGGCTATAAGAGGTCAGCGCTAATTAGAGGCAGGGCCCGGCACGAGGTCGGCAAATGCCAAGCTGGAAATCGTTTTGGGGCCAAAAAGCAAAGGGGAAATCGTTTTTGCGGGGTCCGGGGCGGAGCCCCGGAAAAAAATTGGTAGTTCATGCTCGCTACTTATCTTGACATGTTATGTGCCTCAACAGGCGAACACTGGTGTTCGCGCGCGTCAAACCGCGCCGTCGCTAATTGCCGCACGCGCGACGTCGCCCAAGCGATGCTATTTGTAACTGCATACATGACTAGTTCTCAATGTATGTGTAATGATATGGCACCAAATTTTGTATGCGAACGGAGAGAGGCTAGTGGAAACATAGCATGAAAAATTTTGAAAAACTTATGTGAACGGAACGAGTAATAAGCATTTATTCCGAAAGTTTTGCAAAACTGGTAAATGAAGATGTGAATTCAAATGGCTCGTTTACAGCGCACAGGTGACGACATGGTATGAAATTTGGTAGGTAGATGAACACGGTCCTGCAGGGCTTAACTTAGAAGTTTCATTGAAAAATTATGTGACTGAATGTTGTGGCAAGCTTTTGTCTGGAAATTTCCCACTACCGAGAAAATGGAAAAATGGCTCGTTTGCAACGCAGAGGAAACGAAATCGCGCGGGACTCGGTGAGTATATGCGCAATAGGACTAAGTAATAAAGTATGAAATATTATGAAAAACTTATGTGAATGAAGAGCGTGCTTAACTAATTTCCAAATTAGCTCGGCATTTGCCGACCTAATTCCCACCTGAGGTCGGCAAAACTCTCAATTCACATAATTTTTTCAAAATTTTTACATAAATCTACTGTACCCCCAAGGATTAGTATATATGGAAAATTTGGTTCCAAATCTCCTCCTTCTCTCATTGCTAGAGGCAAAAATAGCCTCAAAAGCCCCGTAGGGGTAAAGGGTGCTCCAATCGAACTGCGTATCGCTGAGTCCTCCTTTCGCGTCGGCTCTACATTTCGTCATTTCGTCGTTATATTTCGTTATTATTTCGTCCTATTGTCCTTTCGTCTTTCCTTTTTTGGGGAAGTTGAGATTCAGGGACTGAATTAGTTATATTCATTCCAGCTATGCCTCCAAAAGAGGGTATGGAACGTAAAAATCTTTTGGTTGCTAGTGTGAAGATCTTCAAATCACAAGGCAAAGCTTTGGCTGAGTATGCCAAGCCAACCACCAAGTTCTTTGAATATCTGTACATACTGAAGTGTTGTACATATGTGCTATTTTTCAGGTTATTGTTGTTGGTAACCCAGCCAACACCAACGCCTTCATCTGTGCCAAATATGCTGCCCCAAAAGCGCCTGCTCGTACTCAGAGCATTGGGTCGTGCGGGCAGGCTGCGAAGTAGCCCTTCCGTGCGTGCGGGCAGCCTATTTTTTTCTGTGGGAGCGCGTAAGGGAACGCTGCACTGACGCGCATTTACGGGTTCTTTCAAAAAGAAACACGGTAATTAATGCGCAAATCTTCTTGACATTCTCCTTTGTGATTGTTTTATTGAACAAAAGAACTGTATACTTGCGTTGAACTGTATACTTGTATACTTGCATTTCCCTCAGCTTATGTAGGACTTTTCTTGTGCTGTATTTGTCATCGTTTTGGATGTTATGCTACAATAGTTTTATCACCTATCCCATGCGAGTTTCTTTTTATAACTTCGATTCTAAAGCACTCTGGGATACTATGACTTCTGTCTTTTTCCATGGTACTTTTGTTTGTTTGAGTTCTTTGTCATCACGCTTATATTGATTGACCTTTGCTGTAACTGACGTTTAGGCTGCGTTCATACTGATTCCCATGTTCTGGAACTGTTCCCGCACAGTTTCAGCACAGTGCGAGAACTGTGCGGGAACAGTTCCAGAACATGGGAATCAGTATGAACGCAGCCTTACCATAGAGACTTCGCACCTCATTTCGATGTGTGACATTCTGCCATTCTGCCTTATGTTATATTTGAAGACTGTCCGTCTTTGTAACTCAGCATACCAAGCTGGTGTTCGACTCAACTCTTGTATGTTGCTCACTCTTCTTGTTCATAATGGTGGCTGTTCATTTTGCTATGATTGCATTGCTGTATACGCGGAACAGTTTGAATGTTATGTTATTTTTGCTTCAGAATAAATATTTGGGTCAATATTCGAGTACTTTGAGGCATCACACGTGAAGCAGCATCAAAAATAACCCAAATTAAGTATCTAAATTTTTTCACGGCGCTCTTGCGGCCACCCACCGTCATGCGGGCGCGCCGCGATGCCGCAGCGGCCCGCAACACCGGCGCCCGCTCGCTGCCAAATGGCTACCCGCCCGCACGGAGGGAAGCTCTGAGTAACTTCTCCGCAATGACTCGACTTGATCACAATCGTGCAACTGCTCAGGTACGATAAAACCTCGAAAAATAGAGGATTCAGGAGTAGAGTGGACAAATTAAAGATTTTGCGCCAAAAATTGAGTAACGCGCTTTTTTCCCCGCGAATTCCGAACGCTATGTGACAAGTTTGTACTTTTGTTTACTCCTTTCACGCTATGGCAGTAGGCACTAATTCGCTCGCGTTAAATCCTCTTGCGTCGAAGCACTTCTTGCGACTGTGGTTGGGGACAGACGGATAGCGAGGCAGTGAACAAAAAGTGGGAAAATATGAAGAGTTTCGTTACTAGTTTCGCACGTTAATTTTGATGTGAAGATACCACACTTTTTTTGATCGAAGTCAAACGAGTGAAGCGTTCGCATACCCACATTGCAACATAGATACACTTTACTACAATACAGTTTGATTTTTTTAAAATTTTTCTGCGATTTCTCTGTGTATTTTGGTGGACTCACCACATTTTTCCTCAGCTGCGCGATCCGCTTATCAGCGTTTACTAGGAAGTAGGATATTTGAACAATAATTTTTATATGTTTGATTACTAAATCTCTTGAGATCCATAGTGATGAAGCTGTTAACTATCAATCGTTGCAGGCAAGGAGAAGTACAAAGAAAAACTTATATTTTCTGAGCTCGATCGCTTGACTAACATCGGTCCCATGAAAGCGATTACCGCTGGTGGTGCCCATGGAGTCAGTCCAATTCTGCTGGAGCAAGAAAGAACAGACCCTATATTTGATATAGTGGGTTTTGCGACTCAAACAAGGTCAATCCAGTTTCTAGATTGTTGCTTCTGGACATACAGTCAATGGTTCAATTTGTGTACTGCAAAGGACGGTCCGGTCAGACATAATCACTAGCAGTTTGTTCGTTTTCCTCCTGCTGTTGTTTGCTGTTTTCTACATTTTATTTTCGCGAATATTGTTCTATGTGTTTGTTCAGCTTACAAGACGCTCAACAGCTATGGGCAGTTGGAAGAAGAGAAGATGATTCTCACAAGTAGGGCTGCAAGCTTACACCAACGTTTACATTGTTGCGATATAGTGTGGACCCCGGCCAGCTCCTCATAGGTACCTCCGCGACGCGCCCGCAACGCATGCCTTTAGTGCGCTTTCGTTTCTGCTTCTAATGAAAATTTTTATGCTTTTCTCTCTAAATTGACGTTGTTCTGTTTATAAACGCTCTATTTTAGGTGAAGGCAACTCAAGACAACTGCGATAATGGGTTTTTACGAGCCTCAACAGGCTTGAGAGCCTTTGTTTCGCAAATTCCACGTTCTTTTCTCAATAGCGAAGGCTCTAGCATGTTGAAATACTTTTTATTGATAGGTAAAACGAGTAGCGTAAAGCCGAGCGCGCGTTGCGTATGCGTCGCGGCGGTACAGTCTATTCATTTCATATGATCATGTGTGTCATTGCACACACCGTCCATCTTTGGCTACCCATCCTGGATTCTTGCAGGAGGCAGCCCTTCCGTTAAGCGATTCTGATGTGTTCTCGATGTTTTCTTCTCTTTTTAGGTACTATTCACCTCTAAATGATGTAAGCGATAGCAATTGGTCACTCTCTCGCGTTTTTGCGATCGCAAATTCAGGATGAGGACGCCAAATATGGACGGTGTGTGCGGGTGCACACATGATCATATGAAATGAATCGACTGTGCCTATGGAAAGCTGGCCGGGGTCCACACTATACCACTGTGGTCACTACTTTCTGCTTTTAGATATCTCATCGTATCTCGTACGCGATCTTCTTTGATTCTCGAGTTAGGGGAAGACATGGTTGAGTTGGAAGAACCGCTTTTTCTCTCGGACGAACCTACCGTAACAGCAGGAGAGATAGCCGATGGTGGTCTTGCTGTTCAAGTATGTTTATTTTTAATCTGCAATAGTATCGCGCTGTAACTCCATTTGAACTGGAAAGTATGAAGGAGTTATATATGCTGGCATACCTATCTCCCTCTTTTTTTTCTCATTCACTAACTAGATTGTGATTTTTAGGTGACGTCACTACGTGTAGCTTTTGTGGCAGAAGAAAAACAACTTCAACAGATTGATTTGGATTCCAACTTCCCTGTTGTTGCGGCATCAATAGTTGATTCTTACGTGGCTTTACTGACTCAAAACGGGCGCTTGATGTTGTTCCATCTTGTTTTGAACCCTACTGTGCACCTACAGGTAACGAATTCAATGTTTGGCGCTGATATAAAAAATTTCGACCTTCATCTAGGAAATTGACATAGCCAACACTGCATTTGCTAAAAGAACCGTTTATCATCGAGCTCCGTTGACTGCACAGTCTATTTATCGCGATATGAGTGGACTCATGGCTTGCTCTCAAGATGATGCAAGCATCGCCGAAGGAAGAAAAGCTAGCAGGTTAAGAAAGGTTTGTTGAATTTTTATAAGGGTTAATGTTTGTATTAATTCGTTATCAAGGCGGCTGCACGCCGAACTCTTGTGGACTCCATCGACATTGACCTCTATGGCGATGAGGGATTACCCACTAGTAATGCCGTCGTTGATGAGGACGAGCTATTGTATGGAGAACCGGCAGGAAATAAAAAAGGTGATAATTGCTGTTAACACATTACCGAAAGTCTCACTTGTAACTTCAGATGAGAATGTTCGGAAAAGGAAGAGGATTGTTGACATAAGTAGTGTCGCGACTGGATGAATCAGATGCCATTGATCCAAATACTGGTTTGTAGTTCTCTGTTTAGCTTGTCACTATCCCTAGGCATAACCACATCATTCAGTGGAGCCTACATATTGGCTCGTACTGGCTCGCAACAGCGGGAAGGCCGTAATCCAACTCTCTACCGGATATGAAAACAGTTTATCAGGTAGGGCCTTTGTGAATATTTAGTTTTTCCACTTATAAATGTATATAAGAGAAGAGAGCGATTATTTATCCTAACCAGCTAAACTGAGACGTCTTGGTCCTTGTTTGAGCAATGAAAAGAGGACTAAGTCAAGAAGTAGAAACTTACAAGTCTACAAAAAACAAAATACTTAGAGTTTCATTGTACTATTCATGGAACCGCGACTCTCTTTGTAGCTAGAAGTTGTTTGTAACGTGTTTCACATATCAGTTTTAGTTTATTTGTTTTGGTGTTCAGTTCTTGAAATTTGGATTGATGCCTGAAATAGTGACCGATCTCATGCCCGAGGAGGAAGAGAAGGACAAGAAAGAACAAGGTTTGTAATCTTTCCAATGTATCATTCAAGTTGCATGTCTTTTTTAGAAGCCCGCGCAGAACAGTTCGAGAACCCTTTATACAATTTCGGCGGCCAAATGAAAGGGTCGTCGAACTGCAGATCGTTCTAGATGGCTGTTGTTAGGTAAACTTCCTACCAACTCTCTTATTCTTCGATCTGCTGCTTTTACAGCGGTGTGTTTCTTCCTACTCGCTGCCCCTTCTTTTGCGCAGTTTGTCGATAGGGATTACAAGGAAAGATCCTCCAAGACTAACTCGGCCAATCCGTCTTTCCACCAGTCTGCCCCACCTTGGTGGATAGACTTTTCTACCATCGGATTTATGGATTTTCTAATGAATGCCGTTGTTCACATTTCTTTCGAAGTTATTCAAATTCTCTTTTGGCGAGTGTACGCGTTCTGCAAGAACGTCGGCACCTACGTAAGGACTGCGCGCAGTTGGGGAAGGGGGGAACCCCTGGGGGAAGGGAGGGGCGCGGGGGGAGGGGGCGTCTCATTGAGGACCCCGAGTTGGAGGGGAGTGACGGTGAGGAAGCTCGCCGCCGCAACCGTTGCCAGTGCACTGGCTGCTGTTGCGGTGGCGGGCTTCGTCGCCGTCAGTCAGTGCGCGTGCGCCTCACTCCAGCGTCCTCAATGAGGTGCAAAAAATGCAAGCACAAGCCCTAGCTTGCGCTTTAATTTTTGAGGGGGGAAAGTGAGTAAGAAAAGTGGAATCCAAAAGTGGGGGTGAGAGTGGAGTATTAGAAGATGAGGGTGAGTGTGAGTGAGTGAGTGATATATAGAGTGAGTGATATATTGTGAGCGAGCATATGACTGATACGAACTCCCCCTCCCCCTCCCCCCGCGCTTCCCCCACCCCCCTAGGTGCCGGTGTCATTCGAGATCTCTGATCCTGATCTCTTTTTTTCGTTTTTGCATTGTTATTGTTTTTTTTCTCCAATAAATGTTTTTTGGTAACGTGTTCATCGCAGAATCACTGGGATGAATTTTTGGGTCAAAGGGGAAATCGTAAAAAAATTTTAGGTCAAAGGGGAATTCGTTTTCGAAAACCCCTTTTGCCCACCTCGTGCCGGGCCCTGATTAGAGGTCACTCCATGATTGGCTAGCTCGCGGGAGCGAGCAGCTGACCTGGGCAGACGCGCTGCGGAGGCGGACGAGTTTCACATCCTCAGACATTCGCCGTTGTCACCCGCAGGTGGACCGCCCACAAAATGGCTGATCGCACCAAAACTCGGTGCACCGGCGGGAGACACGAATTTAGTTTTGACCGGATTTTACTGCGATTTTGCCCCGATGCAGGCCGCATGCGTGTATGATAGTGATGTTGCGAAATAGTCGTCTTCTCTTGGTGTTTGCTTTTTGTTGATTGTTGCCTTTTTCTTCGATGTTTTTGCTTTCACTCTTTCTTATACATCGCTCATAATCGCTCTCTGGGATCATTTGTGACCTTTTATAGCATAAACTTGTCATTATACCAGACCCACTCTATCTTAATCATACTTAATGATGCCTTTTGATTCAATTTCGCTTACTATTTTTCCTCAATTTTACCAGCACATATTATCAGGTTGTCCCATAAGTTCCGTCCGTTTCAATTTTCAATCGCAATAAGTCATGAACTTCTTGGTTTTAGACAGATTCCAAGGTACCATTTGATAGAGCAAAGCAAGCTCTACAAGATAACTTTCTTGCTTTCGCACCAGTTTAAAGCCATCTCAAGTTTGAAGCCAAAAACCAAAAAGATCCAACCGACCGAAAAATAAAGAAAAAATCGTAACTCCGTTTAGAAAAATCCTAGAAAATTCCTAACTTGCTCACAGATACCCTATCCACATCAGACGTTTATATATACTGTTGCTGTATTTTTTACTTAAATAGAAATCGAGAAAACGAAAATTTTCATGTTTTTGCCAAAGTGATGCTGTGCTGTTCTCACACAAGTAGTTGTATACTACAGACCAGTACAAGTACAGACACAAATTTTCAGCGCTCTAAAGGCTTTAGTTCTCAAGAAACATTGAATTTAGCTTCGTACAGTCGGGTGTTTCGTCTTAAAACGATTATTTCCCGAGAACTAAAGCCTTTAGAGCGCTGAAAATTTGTGTCTCTACTTGTACTGGTCTGTAGTATACAACTACTTGTGTGAGAACAGCACAGCATCACCTTGGCAAAAACATGAAAATTTTCGTTTTTTCGATTTCTATCTGAGTAAAAAATACAGCAACAGTATATATAAACGTCTGATGTGGATAGGGTATCTGTGAGCAAGTTAGGAATTTTCTAGGATTTTTCTAAACGAAGTTACGATTTTTTCTTTATTTTTCGGGCGGTTGGATCTTTTTGGTTTTTGGCTTCAAACTTGAGATGGATTCAAACTAGTGCGAAAGCAAGAGAGTTATCTTGTAGAGCTTGCTTTGCTCTATC